GAGCCCCCCCCCCCGGTCCCCCCATGTCAAAAAAAGCCCGGTCTAGGTAGGGTTAATGCAGTTTACTGCTTGGTAAAGAGCCAAACATAGTTACCTAATGTGCCTGGCTAATTACGCAAGATGTAGCGAAGCTGCGCTTGCATAACACTATAAGCTACCGACAAAGACGTACTTCGTCAATAGTATTACGCTTTTAGTTTAACTTCAAAAGAAGAAGAATATATAAAGAAGAACAGTACACGTACTGCTGAAGCAATACTGCAGTACATAGTGAACATCCCAGCTTCCTGCGGGCCCATCCCGTACGTGTCTCTAAGGATGATGGGAAAAGCGTTCAGGACGATCTTGTTCGCTAAGATCAAGGCGAACTTGATCCCGAGTAGATGAGCCACCGCCGGGATTTTCAGCAGTCTCGTGATCTTCTGGAAGTTGACGATTTTTCTCTCTACGGATGTGCACAGAATATTCAACCAATCAATCAATCAATCAATCAATTTATTAGTAAATCAATATATTAACTTTACTGAACGGCAATATTTATGGGTGGAGTCTATGGCAATTTGGTAAACAGTGCTTTATAGGTAGTCTACTATCTACGCCAGTCTATCTAAAATGAACAGTAACTATATACTAAAGGCTTTCTATCTAAAATGAAGAGTAACTATATACTAAAGGCCTGCAAGTAAGAGTATAATAATCGGAATGCCCAAGACGTATTGTGCAAATAACATCGACATGATATACAATATAAGTTCATTTTTACGTCGATGAAGGTTAGACATCCAGGTAATACGATATGCCAAAAAACAGTTACTCAAGCAACTGGATATGATTTTGAAAACGTCAGACGTTTCAGCTAGTATCCACTAGCTTTCGTCAGTGACTGAGAGACCAGAGGGGAAAGCAGGTTTATATACACAACCTGTTGATTGATATGCAAATAAAGTGAAGACAAATTTTTGGAAGTCGAAAAAGGAACAAAAGTCAGACAAGTCAAGACAAGATGATGCAAATTAGTCTGAAAGCTCTTGTTATACAGGACAGGAGCTTAAGTGTTGTCTGTCCTCGGGGCTGGGAGTGCCAAATCCCAAGTGCCGGAAAGATCGACCCGTAGCCCCCCTTCCCTGTTGAGGGTGGGGTTGTACATTCTTTCATATATTG